CACCCCGACTCATCCAATGTACACAAAACTCCGGGCCTTCGCCGGGTTGTCTCTTCTTCTAACATCAACAGGGAATACTGCAACATGCAAATGTAAATATTTGATTAAAATATGTATAAACCGGGGTCCTTTGGCGTGGATCGTGCGTGTGTGTGTTTGTGTTCAACAGGGAAGATAATGAGCGGACAGGAAGAGAGAAACATGGCTGACATTTCGCCTCATAAAACATGCATTCATAGCTCTGCCGGTATGTGTGAGATAATAGATAAATATTGCCGTTCTTCAGCCGATACAAAGCTGACATTTTGTGCTCCAGGGAAGACATTTTATGTATCATTTGGCCGTCACGTGGTGGTAGTTTCGAGCGTGCACGTCTGCATTTGATATTCTAGAGGTGACTTGAATGCTTGAGAACATGTGTGAAGTGTTAACCAGCTCTTCCAGTGCCGGCTGACGCCACCTCAAAAGAGCGTCATTAATTAACATGCCATTATCAGAGCTGAATGCTGGCTGTGGGTGAGGAGGGGAGGTGGTGGCCGGGGGGGGAGAGATTAATGCTGCAAGGAGCTTCTAGTGGATTAAAGGTCACATCCTGTGTGTTAATCACCCAGCACCCCTGACCCCTGGAAGGAAACACAGTAGAATGGGCACATTATTGCCACCTGGCTGGGCACCAATCATTACCGGGGATCAAAATGAGGACTGCTCCTCTGGGCGGGCGCAGACAGTGAATGGATGAGATAAAAAAAAGAGACATTAAAAGAAAAGGATGTTACGTTTTTCTCAAATTAATGACAGGAGGAAACTGGAAGAGATAGAGGTGAACTTTCAATAGGGATGTTCACACTTAGAATACCGTAAAACTTCCAATAAAAGCAGGGTCCCTAATAGATGCAGGTCTCTTTTAAAAGCCTGGTGTGGCTACACGTTTTGACAAATAAATAGACAATAGACAATAGAGGGCTGGTCTGGATTTTATAGAAATTATCTCGATGTATAAAACCTCTTAAAACCCACCGGGTCGCCTGCTTGAGCAAGTTTTTAGTCGTTTCAATCTCCTACACAAATATAAATGTTTAAACTTCTGTCAATATGAACATAATGAACATCATTAGATCAGTTATAGATTCTCCACAATTCAATCGTTCACTATATGTTACGAAAACTATCAACAACAAAGTATAACGTTAATTCATTCTGTCTTAGTAACACGGTAAAACCGAAAGAAGGAAACAAAACTCTGAAGCATCATAATCATCATGTTAGTTGTCAAATTTGCTGAACAAAACTCAAGAGAAGCAGCAGTTAGAGTTTAGTTTAGTTTTGTGCTAAAGGAATTAAAGGCCTGTCCCAAATAGAGGCCTGTCCCAAATAAAGGCAGGGGGAGTTCAGTGATTTAAGCAAATAAACGCCCGGGCTATTGTTAGAAGTTTTACGGTAGTTTAAAGGTTAAGTAGCCTATGTAAGATTTTGAAACTTTTTACGTATTATTTCTATGTTTTAATCACTTTTTATTGCCAATAAGTGAAATTAATTACACCCTCCTCAACTTTCTCGGTTGTCAGTGGACTGGATGTGTGAATATGTATGTGCGTTCCCAAGTACTCAACAGTGTGCAACACTAGTTAACATTAGCTACAAACAACAAACACCCACCTCAAAGTAGCTAAATATTCAACAATAATAATAATATTAATACATATTTTGGATGATGATACTAACTTATGTATTATGACAAACAGTGTTGATTTTAACCAACAATAACGGTACAAAGCCAACGGTTACTTTCTACTAGCCAAGAGTGATGGAAGCCTAAGCTACAGACTGAATCATTATTAACCTTTTTCTAAAAAGTTACAGATAATAAGCTTTACAACGACTGCAGAGGTCAGTGAGTCCGTAACAACTATAGAAAATTACTTCACTAGCTAACGTGATCCATGCTAACTTGTGTATTACGATAAACTGTTGATTGCAGCCAACAACAAATGATGTGACTGTACAAAGCTAATGCTACGGACTGAGTCATTACTAACGTTTTTCTAAAGATTTACACACAGAAGCTTTACAGTGACTGCAGAGGTCAGTGAGTGCAGAGCTGCTCCGAGGCAACAACTGTAGCCGCCGTTGTCAAGTTACACACCAGCACAGAGACAGGACTATAAGCAGAGGATCATTGAGTTTTTCTTTTGAAAGAAAACAGTGAATGTGCATCGTACACGAGTCCTTTCAGCACATATACAGTATTGTTGGCCTTCTTCACAGTCTCCTCTCTGTCTCTCAAAAAGCCTCTGTTGCGAACACACTGCGTTCTCAGTGTGAAAAAAGCCTTGAGGACTTTCCAAGGTGGATGGATTCATTTCTGGGTGTTCAAGAGAAAAACGCTCGCAGGGCTGGATTGGCGCTTCTATATCATATTTCTGCAGCCCACACACGCCTCCCACTCTCCCACATCTGACAAGAATCTCTCAGATCGGATGTGACTCACTAGCTTTGGCAGTCGAAGGCTAAATTCTTCTTCTGTTACTCTCTTACGATGACCACTCATCTCTTTCCACCGCCTTTATTATTATTTCTCTCTCTCTCTCTTTCTCTTTCTCTTTGTCTTTCTACCACATAATGGCCTCTGATGTGTGTTGTCATATTGAACAACGCGCTGTTTTTACAGGAATTTACATACTGTCAAAATAAGGTTTTGATTTTACTCACATAAACAGCTCGCGGTGGGTTTATTTCACATTGAATCTGAAGCACATTAGATCTATTAATGGGCGGTTTTTTTTCTGAGCAAGACACAACAAACGTTTCTGCAAATGCACCTCAAGTGTTGTTGCAGGTCTGGTGGAAATGGGAACAGTGTGAATGCTCAGGGAGCGTTGTAGATGCTTACAGAGCGGCCTCTATTCTCAGAGGACCCTGTATTCCTGCGTCAACGCTTTCCAGGACGGTTCACTGCGCGTTTGATGGACTATTTTCCCTCCTTCCCGGGCAGGGCTGTGTACATTTTGACCTTGGTGTCAGCAGAGCTCAGACAGAAGCTGCTGAATAGGATATCTCCCTCTTCCTCAAGGACGTCAACAGCAACATGCTCCCGCGTTTTCTTCTGATGTTGAAGGAGTTTTATTCACTTTATATGTCATTTATTTCATATAATGTGAAAAGTATTTACTGTGTATTAACATGTATGTAGTATATGAGCATGGCTAAATGTGACCATGCTCATACTTCACTCACTGTATTAATGCCTGTTAACATTTTCAAATCAAAAGAAATACAATAAAATAAATGTCTCTGAATTTTTCAGGAATAACTGTACTTTGATGGCCACCATCATCAGCCTGTTGCAGCAGTTTGGCCTAGTTATACTTTTAATGTCTAATGCTTTTATTCTATTGGATTCTGTCTGTATTTAGCTGTAACTATGGTTTTAAAGGTGTTAAAATGTATTATTACTATTATTAGGGCCCCAGCAACACAACATGCTTCCAAAAGAGTTGCAGTTTTGGCGCCCGCAACACCCTCGGAAACTGATAAAACTGAAGGCACGTTTTACCAATATGTATGGAAATCGGTACGCACATGTATCATGACCAGACCGACAAAAAAGCCTCTTGGACCGATACCCCAAACCCAACAGGAAGTCGGCCATTTTGAATTTAGCACATTGTATTGTAACAAACTGCACCTAGGGTATTGATCCGATTGGCCTCACATTGAGTCAGTGCACCTTAAAGACTTTCATGATTAAATGTTACGCTGTCTGTGACCGTGCGTCAAACGACATCGCCGTGGCTTGGCGTCCAATTTCCGACGCTTTGCCATTGAAACAGGAAGAGGTCCAATCTCCACCAAACGTCACATATCTGATAAGAGTCCCGCCATGAACACATCTACATGCCCGTGTAACAGGAAGTAAACCTTGTATGGCGATGGTGATCTGATCCTCACTGCTTGCAGCATTAAGTATTATTATTATGTCTGACAGCCCAGGAACAATATCAGTGTTATTTGAGCCGTTAGGAGTGTATGTATCATAGCTCGCGTTCTTTGTCTCTTTTGTGCTACACGGCCAAAATAAATACATACTTAAGCGATTGATCTTCACGGAGCAACAACACTGTAGAAGCACCTACAGCTGCGAGTGGAACTATTAAATCTGTGTAGCAGCGGAGCAGCTTAAAAATAGCCCAGTCTTCCATTGTCCTGTCAGGGTCTGAGTCTTGGGCCGCCGCAATTCACCGAAGAGCTCCAGCTCCACGCCTGGAGATTCCTTCTGCTCCTTTCTGACAGTGAGATGTAATCAGGTTGTCTGCTTGTTGAAAGGCACGGCTGAGTACCGAGCGGGGAACTAAACTCTGAATGCCCTCCGCTACGGCTCACTATGTTGCCTCACAACACAGAGAAGATAGATGACGTAGAACAGAGGCTTTAGCTTTGAGGAGAGAGATTCATCTACAACTTCATTTCACTCTCGGGAAAGCTAAAAAAAAAAGTTACAATCCAGTTTGAGGGAAGAAAAATGGAGGTGTGGAGTGATTTTATTCTGTCTTTCTGTGTGATCGAGCTTCCTCCCTTTCAGCTGTGCTGCTGAAAAGCCCTTCCCTCAGGGTGTCTTACTCAGCCTTGACACAGACACTGCCACTACCTTGTGATCTCACTGCAAAAAGCACATGAAAGATCACTCTCTCACACACACACAGAGAGAGCGAGAGAGAGAGAGAGTGTGTGACAGAGATTACTTCAGTCACAGTATCTGCTATTGCACTCTATTCTTATCTCTGTACTGTTATCAACTCCCTCTGGACCATAAGCTCTGTTGACATTTCACCTCATTCCTGATGTAAAATACTTCCAAGGCCTTATTATCTTTGTCATGTTTTAATCCCACTATACTGGCTGTAAAGAACTATTTCCCTGCACCTGTGTGTTTTCAGTCCCCCCAGGATTGTTTAAAAAAGAAAAAAAAAACCTGCTCTATTTGTAGTGCATCACAATCTTACCTGTTCTAGTTTACGGAAAGCGTTGCTTATGAATTACCCTTATCGGCCCGGTCTGTGTGTTGACATTCTCTTTGATGATCGCTCCCTGCGTCACCTGACTCAAAGAATGAACGCTTATCTTTTTTCACCATCCACCCACCGAATAAAGACACCATGTCCGTGTGGGAAATGGCGAATGCATCAATTACCAGATGCATATGCATGTGATCGCGCTGCAATGTGCTGACTATGTACCCCCCCCTGCACGGCTCCCCTAAAGCAACCCCCATCCCCCAACCTCAGACATTATTTTTTTGCTCTCTATGTGTGACTACATTACACCGGCTTCCTCTCCCCCACTGAGTGAGCCTTCTGAGCTGGTCCCTGGGGTGGGTGTCGGCGTGGAAAGCAGGCCTTTTCCCCCTGTCCATGGGAAGTTATTGATGAGGTGAGGTAATGGATCTCCCCGCTGTGCTCACAGGGACACTGAGGATAAATCAGACAGTGGGTAAGACCCAACCAGCCATTCCACCTCTCTCCAGACTCAACTGCCATTTCATTAGCTTTATTTATGGGGGTTCTGCACTCTTCTGAACCCCTCCCCTTTCCATCCTCCCAATGAAAATGCCACTATTCTTCTTCTTCTCCCCCTCCCTTATATAGTGCTATGGCAACCCATATACACCCCAGTCCTTTCCTCCCTTTTTCCTGGAAAACATAGCACTCTCCCTCCCACACATCTTCCCGGGAACTACTCCCTGCCTGCGTCTGGTTGATGTGGAGGTGAAGAGCAGCCCCCGTTATCATGCGACGGACAAAGGGCTGAGCAGATAGCGTTGTGCTCTGAAGTGGTGAAGGTCTCGGCACCGGCTCGGCTTTTAAACATTAGACGCTGCAGCGCAAGTCCACCCAGCTCAGCACTTCCTGCAGAGTCGTGTTTGAGTTGGCTGAGCAGCAGCAATTCACCTCTGGGGGCTTAAGGCTCAGCCACTTAGCGAGAAAATTGCAGCCAAAACTGGTTTTGTCCTTGAGGGAAGAGACAAGAAAAATTCCTTAAGTGTCCTCGCTGGAAAAGGGCCGACTGATCTTCACCGCAGACTCAAACGTCAGTTCTTTGGTCAGAGGTGGCGTCCATTATTGATAGGCAGTGTTGGGGAGGCATTACCAGTAATAATAGAACCTCCCCCAGTAACTGGAAGTCATGATATTACACTTACCCCACACAAAAATAATTAGTTACACCAGTGTGCAAACTAAACTGTGGCTCACTCTTTTTTGGGGAATAATGAAGCTAAAGTTTTTTTTCACAATCTTGGCAAAAAGAGGAGAAGTTTCCAATATTGCGCCACCACGCTTTGATGGGAAATATCTTTATTAAAGTGAAGTAGTGATGAATCGCCGACATGCATGTATCACACATCAGTTATAGCCTGAATTTACTGCAACATTACTGATTACTGATCTGAAATCCAACAATCCAATCACATCCTTGGATTTGTTTCTGTAATTGTGAAAGAAACTAATTTGGAAGAACAAACAAAACAGGATTTTAATCGCTGTAACTTTTAATTCTGGGGAGAAAGGACACAATCACCAATTTTGTGTGGAGTAGTGATTGAATCTATTTGATTACTTGTTTAAAAATGTAGTCAGTAACTTAATACAAGTATAACAATATTAAAGTAAAAATTACTTTCCATTACTTTTGGATTACTTCAACACAAAATATGTAACTAAAAACAAGAGAAATATCAATAAGAAGTATTGATCCAAGTGTTCAATAATAAAACAGAGCAGTGTGACCTTTGAAAAGAATAAAGTGGAAAAAAAGATTTTTAGCATCACCAATGTTTCCTCTGCTTGGTGTATTAATTGTGTTTTAAATTTTTAATCCTGCTAAATAATTTCAGCATTTTAGCTTTTTTTTGTATCCTGATTACGTAACTCAGTAAGCTGTAATCTGTTCCTCCCCAAGCCTGCTAATTACTGCTGGCAGGGAGTACTAAGTAGAGTAATTATATTACTTTTAAATTTATTCTAGTAGCTATTTATCTTTGTGGGTTTTTTTTATCTCGCTTTGTAAGTCCTGTTCTTTTTTAGAGCCTGGAGCACTTTGACTTGTATCTTTTATCATGTTTATGTTATGTTTGTTGTTTGTTGTTTTTATATGTTTGTCTTTTACTGCAAACCAAATCTACTCTTGGGTACAAATAAAGTAACCTTGAGCCTTAATGAGTAATAAATTTAGCTCCATTCTGCTTAAAATAAGTCATCATGTCACTTCCATACGATTCCCTTTAGCTCTTTCCACACTGTGTGCTTCTCCACTGCCAGAGTTTATCACACAACTCGGAATAATGTACTGAACAAAGCCCACAACACTGTGACCTGATTTAATCTGGCATCAATGTTATCACTGCTAGTGCTGTCTGTAGATTTCACTATCAGAGAGCAAATATCTAGCCTATTTAATACTTCTGAAAAGCTTTACCAATGCCAGAACTCGATCTGTGTGTGAATGTTGACATACACGCATTGCTATATGCTCTATCACGTCTCTGCATCTAATTTATTTAAAGCACTGAAACCAGGATTAGACATGAAAGGCAGTGAATCACACTCTCCTCGCATGCTTCTTCCATTAGAAAGAGACAGGAACAGGGGGGTGGGGGGTTTGTGCGTTTCATGGTGAACGTTGATGTCATGACAGTCATGCTTGAACATGTCCATACAAGGTCCACTCTAGTTTACTCTGCATGAATCCATGCAAGCTAACAGATGGTTGACTGAGCTTAGCTCCAGCGATGCTGTGCCACTGCCAGTTTCTTTACAGGGGTTCACTTGGACGTGGGACAAGTGTGAATATGTCTGTCACACCCACTGCAGCCAAGACAGAAAATTAAGGCACAATTTGCTGCACGAAGATGAAGAGTCTGAGTTAAGTATTCAGATTTTTTTTTAATTGAGACACATACAGTCGTGACACATACACATTAATAAAACCGTTCTTCTTGTTGGGTGTTTGACCTTCACTGTGCCTGTGTCTGTGCAGAGTTTGACACTAGAAGGATGTTTTCACATTCATCTGTTGAAAGTGGAAAGTTTCTCTGAGCTCAATGAAAGATTTTTTAAGGGGCGAACTTCCAAACAAATAAGTTTGGACCCACCAGAGCACATACACTGAGAATGGACTGTACAGTGAAGTAGGAGACAAATCCAACTCTGTCTAGATTCATGACTAACACTTCATGTACGCACAAAGACAGAAATATGTATACACTTTCTTTTTCCGGCAGATTAATAAATCTAAATAAATCTCAATCATTACAGAAATGAGCGCGCAGGCACAAGCTTAATTTCCACTGCCACAATTACCCATAAATGGATGTAGAAACGTCCTTAAACAACCGTTTGCATATCCATACTCGTGCCCACTCATTCGTCAATGAAAGGAACAACAAAGAAGAAAAAGTGACTGTGTGGCATTTGCCCATAATGCATGGTTGTGGCTATTTATAGCACCCGTACCACCAACTCATCACATATAAAACCATTCATGATGTTTCAGTTTGCATCCATTCTGACATCCATGTACCACCCCCGAAAACATCAGGCCCTCTAAATACCACCATTATAACCAACGTTAAAATACAGCAGTATAGACCGACACTATTCAGATGTCAGAAGGTTATTTATTTCTAACTTCTCTAATTTCTAGTTTTCATTTCATTCATATTACCTCTGCTTATTATCTTACCGTCACATTTTAGCTCATAACTACTCATGGATGTATGCACTCGCGGCAGATTGATAGTACATAAGTCAGTGTACTGTAGTGTACAGTGTGCGGCCAACAGAAAAACCCTGTTTTTTGTTCCCCTACTTATAAATGGTAGTCGGGGGAACCGATTTCCCGATTTGGTTTTCTCATTTCAAAACAAAAATCCGTTGGCGCTGACTGATAAACCAGTGACCTACATAAAGAAACAAGACAATGAGCGAGAAGATTGGCTGTTTCTATATTCTTAATGCCTGCCCCCCTCCCGCCCCCCGGGGTCGGATTCCCATTGAAATCAATGCAACGCTTTTGTCCACAGGGGCTGCCAGGATCAACAAAGTTCCTTGTTGCTGAAATGTTTTGCGGAGAAAAACCCATCAGACACACATTATTTCTGCACTATTTGTATGTATGTCTTAATACTGGTGTGGAGGGGGGTCTTTAAACAGTCTCTTGCAACTTGAGTGTACATTACTATAGCTATTTAAATGGTCTGGAAGTTTAAAAATATGCCTCCCCAGCACAGATTTAAACCAAATTCACACTAATATCCGTGACAAAAACACTGTTACATGATGTAACAAAGACACAGAACATAATCCAACTTTGTGTCTGTGGGTGAGGTTGGAAAGACTCATATTATGTCTCAGCAGTGAAATTTAGTCTACATATGATCTTGATAAAGGGGGAAGGAAAGGAGAAAAAAAAGAAAAATGAGAGAAAAACGCGTGCTGGCGGTCGGCCAGGTGCAGACAGACTCAGGAAGTTAATCCGGAATTCCAACAATGCAGGCAGTCGTTAGGGCTCCTCGCTGAGATGCTGCCATTTTTGAGCTCTCAGAGCTGTCTGTGCTGTGGCGAGGAGAAGGCGGTTATGTGAAGTCTTGTCAGTGGCTGTGAATAAATTCCAGCCCTGACTTTGTAAACCCAGAGTGATTTGTGAATGATACAAGGAAAAAATTGTGTCAGGATTAAGCGGATGAATAAAAAATAAATAAATTAAAAAAGGCTCCTCGCTGCCTCTGATAGCTACAGGGGAAAGATCATTTTCCCAGGCTGTTTGACTCGAGCCCAGTCAGTGACAATAATAAATGCCAGCGATGACAGGATGAATTATGTCTCAGCTAAAAATGTACATCATAGCCAAAGGAAGGAACCTGGCATGTAATTATAACAGTGTTATAAATAGCAACACGTTGTATCCATCAACTTCATCTAAAAAACCACGATTTCAATTAGATATTCTGTGTTTCTGACTTAATTGTGCTTGAATCCAATTAATTTAAGTCTGAATCAACACTCCACGAAGACAATAGAAATGGCAGGGAGAGTAATAATATGTTTCTAATGATGGCACCGGCAAAAGGAGTATTTGAATTTGTAATCAAAGCTGATCATTCACAAAGGGGAGCTCCATTAATCTGGTAGTGGCAGCTCGTCTCTTTAAGAGCGCTGTTTTGATGAGGATTCTCCCTCCAGCCTCTTCTCTCTCTCTCTTCTCTCTCTCTGTTCTGAAGGATTTTTCTGTTGTTCATCTTTTATTTCACAGCCGTAATGACTGTCTGCAGCACATCTATCAACTGACAGCCTTTTGAAATCTCCCAAGTCTGCTTAGCTGATGCAGTCACTCTCTGTGGTGCCTTTCATGTGGGCTCTGGATCCATCGCAGCAGTGCTCTCCAGAAGAGAAGGAGAGAGAGAGAGAGAGAGAGAGAGAGAGAGAGAGAGAGAGAGAGAGAGAGAGAGAGAGATACCTCAGGTGTTGAAGTGGGGGCTGCGAATTTACTTTTACGATCATCAAAAGTGTTCAGATATTAAGGATTTACAGGTTGCGAGCGTCTCAAGAAGGTTCATCTGGCCGGTTTTTGGGAGGAGGAAGGAAGGGGGGGGTTTGTCTGAAGCTCCGTTTAACTCTACGGGGGATCTGGCTACAGATGAAACACAGCTGTTGACATCAAAACTGCCAAGTGAGAAACATTTGTGCTTTATCAGTGAGCTGACAAATTGGGCATCACGGAGATAGGGAGGGTTAGATTATTCCAGAAAAAGCCCAGCTGGAATAAACAGCCCTCTTTCCTGCTCTGTGATGGCTGGATGAAGAGATGGTGGTTGCACTGATGGTTAGAGGGGGTCTCCCAAACCACAGAGCAGAAAGAAAAACACGGGGAAGAAAAACAATCCCATCTGACATCATAGAGGAAGGCTGCCTGCTGCTGAAATTTAGGTCAAGATATAGCCCTGCCTGAAGTGTGCCAGACATGGCGAAGCCAGCTCGCCCCAACGCCTTGTCCAAGTGGAATGACATAATACATAATCAACATTATACAACATAAAATTAAACTAATTACCGTTGCCTGTCAAAACCAGGATTACATGGCAGCAGGTTTTCTTTCTTTAATAATCCCCGCTGGCGCACTTAAATGCCTTTTTAAACAAAATCTTTTCTGTGACTCAAAGAGCCGCAGTATGGGTGGCGGTGGGTTGCCAGTCGGAGAGGTTTCAGACCATTTAGAAACAGGCTGCAGCAGAGTGATCAACTATATGTACGCAGCGTGGTGTGTTGTGATCTCCCAAATACTATCCTTCAATGTTAAGTCACTGTATTCACAGCTTGTACTTCTCCACGGGCATCAAGCAGCACAGATGTAGACTTCCTGGAGTGTCAACTGACCCCCTCTCTGGAGCCTCTGGGTTCAGACCGGAGGGAGGTGGGAGGGGAGAGGGAACAATACAGAGGGGGGTTTGTCCTCAGAGCCAGTTGTTGATGATATGGCTAACAGTATGTTTGAGATAGATAGATAGATAGATAGATAGATAGATAGATAGATAGATAGATAGATAGATAGATAGATAGATAGATGAACCCAATAACTGCAGGAAGTTTGTGGAAAATGAGCGATTTGAATGAATTTTGAGCAGATTATTAAATATTGCATCTGTTTTTCAGAGTTTTTCAGATATTTTAGGGAACTTTTTATACTGTATTGTGTATTTTTGTTCAATTATTTACAATCATACACTCTTAATAGGCTTCTTTTTTTTTTTTTTTACAAATTCAGTGTTTTCTAATGCAGGATGAGGCTGTGTATCAGACAGTGAAGGTACAGCTTGTCTTATAAAATTATAAAATATAAGCTTATATATATATATATATATATAGGCAGAGTGTGTATGTATTTTTTTGTTTTCTTACACCCGTTAAAATCAAGAAGGCCTCGCAGTGGGTTGACGGTTTGAACCCCAAACTGCTCCTGATGCTGTGAAAATGTCTGTGTGTTTAAATGTGATATTTCCTGTTTTCTGATGAGCAGTTGGCACCTTGTGTGAGTGTGACATGTAGTGTAAAGTGCTGTGGTTGACTGGTTGAAAGACTAAAAAAGGTGCTATATGAGTTCAGTCAGTTTACATTATGGGAACATAAATAAAATGTGTGAGAGCATTAAGAGTATTACATTATGGGATCGTATACATAGCGTGTAGATGTAGATAAATCTATAAAGAAACATGTTCATATGATAGAAAAATGTGCATGTTGTGTGCTGAAGGGCATATTAGACATGTTAAATCAATGAGTTCCAACTTGGGGGTCTGGACCCAATCTAAGGGTCACCGAAGCCTCATGTGGGGGTCCTGAGGCCTTCTTGATTTTAAGGCGTGTAAGAAAACTAAATGTAAATTGTCTAATAGAACAACAGCCAAGCATCAGGAGCAAGAAAACACTGAATTCGTCAGAAAAGAAGAATGTTAAGTGTGTATGATTGTTAAAAATGATTTAAAAAATACATAATACAGACAGAGAATTGTATAAAAAGTTCCCTAAACATAAGGTGCCCACAAGAAACAGAATTAATAATGATAAAAATTTGTATTATATTACACTATCTAATAGCATAGAGAGAGAGAGAGATGTATGTATGATTGTTAAAAAGGATAAAAAATATATAATACAGACAGAGAATTGTATAAAAAAGTTTCCTGAACAGGAAATAATCTACTTAAAATTCATAAAAAAATCACTCGTTTTACACAACCTGATCTCTTTTTTCAATATTTTAATTGGATCTTACATAATCATTGTTTAGTTATTCGTCTTTAATTAATTTCTTCTTCCCATAAATATCTGTACAGGAGATAATGAAAACATAAAAGGATGAATGAATATATAAATAAACTAATACCAATAAATAAAATACACACACCCACGCACTCTTGGAAATATATGTTATACGTTAATATATGGTTCAAACTGTCATTTCGCTTTGAAATATCCATAAAATATGTCACTTAGTTTCCTTAATGATTATAAAAGGTTGACATAGCATACATAAACTGACATAAATCCATAAAGAAACATGTTTATATATATATATGTATATGTGTGTGTGTGTGTGTAAACAGTGCAAAACTGTGGCTACTGTATAATAAGTCAATTTTATTTTTAATCTAATTAATTTTAAATACATATTTAATTATTTTAATAAAAATAAAACACAAGTTATGTGCAGAAGTGCTTAATAATATGTTTTTAAAAAAAATTATTTTTATTTTGATGACTTTTACCACTACATTACTGTATTTGTTGTGGGAGCCTGGGAATAAAATAAATAAATAATAATAGAATAACATAAAAGCGTAGGAGGGGCGAGAGAGGCTCCGGACCAATGGGGAGAGAGAGGCTCAGCGGCAGCGGCAGCAGCGGCTTTAGGGAGCAGCGCTTCAGACCACTTGTGTTGTGCAGGAACGGGCACGACATAGCTTGGAAGAAGGGAGGAAAAAAAACACAAAAAAAAAACCCCAAACACCCACTCTTTCATTTGGATTAAACCAGGGATCGGCGGCGGGACTCCGAACCGAGGAGGGGGAGATCTTTAAAAGCGACATCGGGACCGAGTGTGGAGGATTTTTCTCTCCGTGTGGCGCTGCTCTTTGATCGGGAGCTTTCTGAACGACCACACCGACGAATGCTCTCCGCTGCCCCGCCGCTAAGGTTAGTTAGCCCGCATAGCATGGCTGGTTGTCCGTCGGTCCGTCTGTGCTGTTGTTGGGGAGCGGAGGAGGAGGAGGTGGTTGGAGGAAGAGGAGGAGGAGGAGGAGGAGGGGGGGAGAACATACACAGCAGTATTGACCTTTTCGAGGCTATACGTTACGGTTGTAGCTACGCTAGCTAGCTACGGGGGAGGCTGTAATGTTGTTGTTTTTAAATGTAATTTAATTGTTTTATAAAGTAGCTGGTTGCTAACGTCGCCCGCCGCACTCGTAGCTGCCTGGCTACTTAATTATATTATAAATCAGGAACACGTGCTACAGTGGCTAGGCTAGGCTAGCGGAGAGACCTGAAACGGTGCTAGCTAAGCTAAGCCGAGGCTAGGCTACGTCGAGCTAGCCCGAGCTAGCTGTCAGAGCCGTTAGTTCGGTAGTTTAACTCCCTCGTCGGTGTTTACAACGTGAAACACGTTGCTCCTCGCACACCGGGACTTACACCACCCCGTTAATAAACACCGACAACTTTCCGGTGTGTGTATCTCAACGGATATTAATGTGGGGATGTGGCTAGCCTCGTTAGCTCCGCTTGTGTGTTGTAAACAATGGTTGTTGTTGTTTTTCTTTAATATCTGTTTGCTGTTAAGAGGCACAAAAGCGTGTTGTTTTTCATGTTGGAGTTGTTTGTTTGTTTGTGAATGTGACACTTGGGTTACAGTGCCCCCCCCCCCATGTATCAGGATCAGGATACTTTATTGATCCCAAAACAGGAAAAAAGGATAAAAAACAGACAGAGTTGTTTTAAAAAGGCTCATAAACTGTAAATAATCTGCTTAAAATTCATAAAAATCCCTCTGTTTACACAACCTGGTCTCCTTTTTCAACATTTTAATTGGATCTAATGTAATTATTGTTTAGATATTCGTCTTTAATTAATTTCTTCTTTCTGTAATTATCTGTACAGGAGATAATGAAAACGTAAAAAGATGAATGAATATATAAATAAAGTAATACCAATAAATAAAACACACACACACACACACACACATGCACTCTTGGAAATATAATATAAGATAAATGGAAATAATAATGATAAAAACCTTAGAAATATGTATTTTATTACAACATCTAACATCAAAATGTATATATATATAGAAACTATGTTTAAAAAGTCTGTACATTATAATACAATATATAGAAGATAGAAGTATATGTATGTTACAGTATATGAGACCGAATAATAATCTTAATGTTGAGAGGCTAATCCTTAAAAAACACATTATTAGTGACAGAATAAAGCAGAATATTGCACATTAATCAGAGTAATATACTTGTTTTATTTATTTTTTTTGCGTTTGCTTTTATAACTGTTAATATTTGATGGTTAAATTGAAATCAGAGACACATCCTGACCAAGCACAGTCTCATTGACCACCATCTGGAAGTTGAGGAAGGAAGACACACACACTTCCTCCTCCAATGTAAAACATTTAATAATATAAGGAGCATTTATTTTAACCAATTTAAATTGGATTAAAGGTCTCAAAATTAAAAATAATCCTAGGAGTGTATGTGTGTATTAACATGCCACAACCTGAGTGACCTAGACACACCCACAGTTTAACTACTGCTCATTTATTCTACTTTATTTTAAGTGAATAATATATTTTTATTCCTCCTAATCTGTATTTACAGGTGATCAGCAGCGGTGTAGTGGTGCCCGGAGAAGTGGCTCTACTCTTAATTTATGCCACAGTTTGTCCTTTTTAAAGCAGCCCGTCCAGCAAAGGATAAATGCCTTGTGTTATAAGCAGTGACATGTAACACTACTTTTGCATATTTACCAGAAATAGGCCAGTAGTTGTTTGCACATTGACACTTAACTTGTGCTGCGTGGCTTCAGGCAGTGAGGATCATTATGAAATTAGCATTAGCCACAGAAGAATCAATACTAGCCCACAGACGGGGGTGAGACGACTACATAATTATGCATTTTCCTTTCTTACTTTTACTCTTTCCACTCATGAAAATTAAGATAAGATAGACTTTATTGATCCCACACTGGGCGGAGATTCACTCGCTACAGCAGCTCCAGATACAACACAATGGATTAGAGAGAAATACACATTAAGTAAGACTAGGAAAAAAAAAAAAAAGCTTTAATAGGAAAACAGCTTTTTATAGACGGATGTGATTGAACATTGCACAGGTCACAGCAGGAGGCGGTGGCACTGTGTAGACAGTGCACAAGGAAATATCAACGCAAGGCAATAATGGCTATAAATACACAGTACGGGTATAATATAATCTTAACAATCTGAGTAATTACACAGCCATGTCATGCCTTTTTGCTATCCAAGGAAAACAAACCACATACGCACCGGAGGGAGGTGTTAGTAGGTGTCCTCTGTATACCTGCGTATATACTGGTGCTCTGATTTGTTGACCGTAGTTGCTCAACCAGCTTGATGACACATCGATGGGCGGCGTTGGGCGTTAATGGTCCGTTGTCGGTGATTGACAAGTTGCTGTAATAACAGTATAATTGTTAAAATTGTGTCACATTTAAAAACTGGGTTTAATGTAATGTCAGGTTTTTAAGAGTAGGGGGGCTTCTTGATATACATGTTGGCATCTTCATAGACCTTTTTTTTTTTTTTTTTTTTTGACGTGTCAGGGGACAAAACATTGCCCCAAATCAGGGGATCTTTAACGTAAACAAAGTCCCCGTGTGTTGTTTTGAAAAGAAGCGGATGTGTGTTATTATTTCTTTTTGTCAGCTGCTCAATCTCTGCAACCACTTCCACGATAAGCAATCTGATGTATTCTACTTCGGAGCTGTTACATAGCAGTTTGAGGACATTTCAGTTTTTACCAGTAATTTTATTGAGTGTATTTCAGAAATCACATCACACACACACATTTCTTTTTATTCTCTTTCATATGTTTCTGTAAATGCGTGTGCACAAACTATAAAATAATACTTAATACACAAAGAAGAAGCAATGCCTTTTGTAACTGAAGGTGACTGAATGTAAATTTTGACTCCACCAAACGTGGTTTTAAGTGCCTTTTAATGAATATACACGTGTATTAAACTACATCAGGCATTGCACCAACATCACCCAGGCTTTATGAAAACAAATACTTTGAATAGTGCTTCTTCAAGGTTTCTATTGAGAAACAGCACTGTGGAGTTTTATATCCATACAACCTTGACTTATACAACATCTTTTAAGTTGAAGTGACTTGGGGCAATGTGTTACAGACATTATTCAAAGGATCTGTGAAGCATTTTTAATACTACTTGATCAGTGCTCTTTTTGTTTAAATATTTCTTTTTGTGGAGGAATTTTGTGATGTAGAAGATATTGTCAGTATATGTATGGCTGGATCCTGTAATCTGTGGGGTTAAACTCATTTTCCTCCTCATCTTGGCCCAGTGGCGCCCATTATCTTCATTATCAATCAAACAAACCCAATATACTCATGCACTGTGCTCTGGGAACAGCTGTTTCTGATTTGTTGTTTAAGGGGGTTTGTTCACTTATGTTTTGCGTGGCTGTAACATGTCTCCAAACCTGCAACCAGAAACTGTCTGCAGAGGTAGATACCCTCAGTTGTAAGTACTATGTTGTTGTATCTGGTCCTTTTCTGATTATGTAACCCAGGGTTTCCCCCAGGAAGCGGTATGCCATGATCTTGTCACATCACATCTGTTGATCCACTTTAGCAGTTGATGACCTAGCTCATTAAATATATAACATTTATTTGAAATGGCACCTGTGCTCGTTTCCCCCCACAAGGTTAATGTTTTATTTCATATAAGTGTTTCACATTTTATGATGTTTAGCGGAGGTGGTCTTTGGTTCCACCTCTGCTATAAAACACTAAAATAAAACGCTGTGAGAAACCTTAACACTTCCTGTTGCCGCTACACAATTAAAGCCTTCCACTGGCCAACTATCATAAGCCTCTTATTGTGGAACGGTTACAAATTCCTGAAGCCTTAGTCAGGAACATAAGCGACTCCCTCGGAGTGTGAAATGCATATTAGTGTTTTTATGTTGGCTGAACTGGCAAAAGAAGAAAAGCACCACGGCCAGAAGCACCTGTATTGTGCCTGCACGGCAGGTTCATTGTTCATGGTCGACTAGCTGCTCAAGTATCTTTACCTTTTGGGAATTCGGCATATGAGAGGTGTGCATGGGAAAAAACAGAAGTACTACTGTGTTCAATAATTTGAGCCGCTTGGTGTTAGTGGAAACATACGACGGGGTATTAGGGCCAGACTAAGAAGAATTATTTTTTCCTGGTCGTAATATTACTTGAATAAAATCATAGTATTACGAGAATAAAGTCGTAACATTACGAGAACTCTTACGAGAAAGAGAACTCTTCCCGCTGCGTTAAAATGAGGAATGTTGTGTCTTGTGAAGTTATACTTTGGTATCGGTTTCACAAATAAGGAAATACTTAATCTTTTGGCTCATCAGCATGAAATTATTATTAGTATCAGGACTTTGAAACGATTGTACAAACGACTGTGTCTACTTCAAAGAAAGAACCACACGGACTTGGAAAAACTTGCTTCTTTTGTACATTCTCGTATTATTAAGACTCGTAATTTACAAAATTTTATTCATTTTTCCTCTTAGTATGGCCCTAATACTCTGTCATAGAAACAAACTGTGAAGACAGTGATGCATCACCTTTTTAAAGGACCAGTCTGTATGATTTAGTGGCATCTGGCTGTTAAACATGGGGGCCTCCATAGAAGATGGTAGATAAAACCAGCTCGCAAGTTATTTTCAGGTGAATATACACTAATGAAAAACATACATGCGAATATTGTATTCCATTTCTACCTCGTAAATAAAAAGATAGTTGCTTATACTACCATCTGGTTACAGGGCAACATTATCATTGCTTTGGAGACGTGTTTCTGGCCATGTGGCAAATATTAAGTCCAATGTTCACTCTCTTTTAGCCGAGGGACCTGAGGGA